GTGAACCACTGGTTTTATATCTGACTGAGTCATTCAGTGAACCACTGTTTTTACGTCTGACAGAGTCATTAAGTCAGTCGTTTGATTTTCCTCCAGTTCAGAGCGATTTTCCTGCCCCTCTGTAGTTCATCTTCACAAGAGCAGATGTGTTATGGACAAATCAACAGGTTGTCCACATGTTTTTTTGTTTTTTTCATCTTATGTCTACATGGAAACAGCCTTTTAAGTGTCCAGAACAGATTTGAACAGTTTTTATTATTTAAAAACATCACCTTTGTTTTTTGCTCAGATGGTCAGACCATAACCTTTTGAAAACATGATGTAATAGATGACGTTGCAGACACACCTCTAATCTTACCTACTGTTTGAGGCTGTCCTTGTCTCTGTTGTTAACATTTTGCATGCAGTTTGTAGGCTGGAAGCCCTCACTACACATCGTGGTGCCTGTTTTCAGTGAATTGTTCCTGTAGCACCACCTAGAGGATGGGTTTTGTTGCTGCAGTGTTTTGGGATCACTCAGCGTTTGTACAATTCTTTTGTATAAACAATGTTTTCTAACTTGGCCCAGTTCACCATGTGACTCAGGATGAGACTAACGATGATTCTTCTGAAGCTGAAGAATGAGCATAAGTTTGTGTTTATCTCTTCCAAATGAAACCTGCAGAAGACGAGTGTCCTGCTCTGTGAGAAGCTGACAGCCCAGAAGGTCTTAGAGATGGTGATGTCATACTGTGACCAAAGGTACACGAGTTGGCGACTGAAGTCTCCGGTCCTGCTCAGAAGGTAAATCAAGGTGGACTCACGGTGTCGGAGCGCAGCGGGGTAGAGTTCCTCCTCAGAAGGTCCAGCTCAGATGACAGCAGAGTTTTCCAGTTTACTGTAAGGAGACAGGGAACAACCTGAACAAACAAGAACAACAACAGCAATGGAGCAGATGAGCTCCATCGTCTGACTGAACTTTGGCTTTTTGGTCGTCCGGCTCATCTGGGATGGATCCACTAACCTGCTGTGGTCGGGTCCGTGGTCGGGTCTGTGGTCGGGTCCGTGGAGGTCTCTGTGGACTTGTGGGAGGTTCTGGTGGTGGTTGAAGGAGTGCGAGGAAGACTGCTAGATGGAGCTGAGATGAAGGACAACAGAACATGTGAACTGATGGACCCGACATAAACAGACCAATGTCCATGTTGACGTGGCTGCATCCAGGAGGTCAAAATCCAACGTGACTGCCACCATGAACTAAAATAAACTGAGCACCCAGATCACATGAGGAACCTCTGAGGATCATCTGAGAAACCTCTGCAGTCCAGTTAATCTGGTGGAGGATGTCTTCAATCAAAACATGTAGCTTCACTTCACTCCCCTCAAACAGAGAACTGAGTGTTGGTGCTGAGCAACTGCCGACTCCGTGTCCTGCTGCATGTTTGGGTCAGAACCTTTAACAGAACAAGAACCAGAAATGCTCCAAAAATAATTTGGATCATTTAAAAGATCAAAGACAGAACCATCTGTAAGACCACCAGAACCACCGGTTCCTGTCTAGGGCTGAATACCGAACTTCGGTTCTTTATGGTACCGACTGAACTGCTTTAGTCAGTGTATGGATCAAAATACCGGTATGTCTCATCTTTTGGTGATTGGCTGTAAAGTTACAACCAATGCCAGAGCTGCAACGCAGGAAAAAACAGGAAAAACACAGACGGAGTTCATGTGGTTTCTAAGGTAAGCCTTAATATGCAGCGCCTGACCATGCACGGAATCAATTTAAGAGCATAAAGTTGCTCCGTGTTTGTCTGCAAGGAGAGAGGAGCACAGCCTCCTCCTCTTCCTCCTCCTCCACCTCTCAGTGTTAAAGTCAGCCTGTGGGTGTTGGAGCCTGAACGGCCTGAATCAACATCTGCACGACCGGACTCTGCTTCATCCGAGGACAGAGCTGTGTCTGTGTTTCAGCTGGTGAGTTTACGTTTGTTAACATTACTGCAGCTTAACATGTGCATCGCTGAGAGTTAAACGAGAATCATGTAACACTAACTTTAAGATATTAGTGTGGATCTTTATTTTATGGATATATTTTTAGCTAGCTAAACTCAGAAGCTAACTAAAGAATGACAGTAAAAGATGAACGCTTGTAAAAATATGCTCATCCATCAGGTCAGCTGGTTAAACAGTTCATCTGATGTTCACTGTTTCTCCTCACAGGAGCCTCTGACCCTGATGTGAGGAGATCAGACAAAAGAAAAGCGAGGTGGGAGCCACAGGACAGTCAGAAACTTTGTTGTTAAAGTTTGCTGCTCTTTGTACAGTGGAGGCTGCATGGTGGAGGTAAGTAAACTGTAAAGGATGTTGTTGATCAGTTAAACCAGTATGCTGGGCCACATTTTGCCTTCATGTGCTCTACAGTCTCTGTCCTGAAACTAATCACATTTTAAACGTTTAAAGATTCTCATACAGGACAAAACTCTAAACCACAGGACGACGTGGCCCTTTCCCCGTTTGTAACGGTACAGCATGGTTCGACTCGACTCGGCACGGTTCCAAGGCTTTTCCACTAGCAACGGTTCGTAGAACCAGTTCCTTTTAAGCTGTGAAGGATGTTGTTGACCAGTTAAACCAGTATATCTCAGCCTAGATAATGGTTTTTGATCAATAATAACACAACCATGTTATTGTTGATGTTTTGTTCTCATGTCAGTTAGGGAGATGATCAGAGCCCTAAACCCCAGAGAACCACAGAGAAGATTCAGGCAGAGACACAGAGGAGCAGAAGTCTGCATCAACTCTACCTCAGTGAATCCAGTGACCTGCTGGTGGGATGTGAGGGACAATATGTCAAACTGACAACCAGGTATCTGTGTGTGCAACAATCATCATCTACAGCCTCAGAGGGAACATGTTCTACTGCTGGAGACACCGTCAGCCAGGAGCAGCTGGTTTGTGTCCAGAGAGAACAGACATGTTCATGTTTCTGAAGAAGAATTGTTCAGTGAAAAGGTCCTCAGTGTGTAGCAGTGACCATTAGACACTGACCTGTCACTGGTTTGAAACTGGTCTTTTGAAATGGAAATTATTTGTTTATTTTAATGTAAGAAAACTGCTGGAACAGAAAAATACCAAAGTTAAAAAAATAAAACTCAATATTAATGTAATGTGATTTTCTTCTTGTTAGAATTAATATTAATTATAAAATTGGTATAAAAAAAGTACACTTCAGGAACCGACATCGAAGTGAAGGTACCATACCAAATTTTTTTGAACGGTATCCAGCCCTATTCCTGTCAGACCACCAGAACCACTGGTTCCTGTGAGGTTCTGCTGACCTTGGACCACTCTCAGGTTCATGATGATCTTCTTGTCGTTGAAGAGGCCGTCGATGTCCACCCTGCAGCAGTACGGCCCACTGTCTGTCCGTCTCACGCTCAGGATGTCCAGGTCCATCTGGCCATCTAGAACATCCCCCGTCAGCCGGTATCGGTCGTCCACCTGCAGGTCAAAGGTCAGACTCAGACTTTTTTTCCCCTTGTTTGCTCTTGGCAAAGGCAGACACTTCTTCCTCTGCTCCGTCCCTGCTCTGTTCTTTGTCCTGTGAACCTTTCTCAGAGCCTCTTTTTGCATATCTTCCAAATTGTAAACTATGGATTTGGTCAGCTGGTCTCTCAAGGCAATTGATCAAATTTCCTCAGCAAGAAGACAGGGTGAAGGAGAGCCCTCTTAACTCAATGGAACACTATTCCTGAAAGATGTGCATAACTGGAATTATGATAACAGGATTTGTGCTTTTTGGAGTTGGTTACCTGGGTTATCGATAAATTTGGAAATGTCAGCAGCTGTTAAGCTGCCTGGCATGTGTGAAGAAGGTGCTGTGCTTGGCAACACACAGACTCAGATGGCAAACTATCTGTGGACCTGTATCAGAGCTGAGCCGGCTGATAGATGTGCCATCTCTTATCAGGACTATGGAACTTTCTGGCATTGTTCACGGACGGTGGAAAGGAATAGATCTTGGAGAAGTTGTAAGCTTGACTCGGCGTATGTAATCACAATTTTGGCTGTTTGGGGTTGCCATATGATGAGATGTACGAGTGAGATTGTTAAAGGCAGATAGAAATTAACAGAGCTCGGCCTGACCCAAAACAAATGTTGATATCTGAATCTGGCTCTGGCTTTGGAAGGCTGACTATCTCAATTTATCCTGGATGTTATGGAAATAAGATGCTCTAAATATGATATTGGAATTACAGGAACGACTCTAAAATGGTTTAAATCATATTTATCTGTCATGTTCGGGTTTGGATTTAGAATAAGCCAGACACAGGAGTACAAAAAGAACAGATTTTATTTGTTTTTGCTGCTAGTTGGTGAATGGAGGAATCAGGATCAGCTGAAGTAACATGCTAAGCTGGCTATGAAAGAACTTTATGCAGCCATTAGCAAACACCAGACCAAACACCCTGAGGCTGCTTTTATTGTTGCTGGTGACTTTAACCACTCCAACTTGAAGACAGTCCTCCCTAGATTCCACCAACATGTCTCCTGCCACACCAGAGGTGACAAGACTTTGGACCATGTTTACTCCAACCTGGCTGGAGCATACAAAGCAACACCCTCCCCCACATTGGACAATCGGACCATCTCTCCATTTTCCTCACACCTTGGTACTCACCACTCATCCAACGTGTGAAACCCACTGTGAGGACAATAAAAGTGTGGCCAGAGGGGACAGACACGGTGCTCCAGGACCGGTTCAAAAACACTGATTGGGATATGTTCACTCACACAGACTTGGAACAGTACGCCTCATCTGTGCTGGACCACATCTCCACCACTATAGACAGTGTCACCACCCAGAAACGGATCACCATGTACCCAACCAGAAGCCTTGGATGAATCGGGATGTATGTCTACTGCTGAAGGCTCGCAACATCGCCTTCAGGTCAGGGGATACACAGGCCTACAGTACAGCCAGCGCTGAGCTGAAGAGGGGCATCAAAAAAGGCCAAACACCACTACAAGGGGAGGATAGAAGAACACTTCTCAAACCACCACCTGCACTTTCATCCGTTAGCCCACTACTGTACAAACTGTACACATAATCTACTATCTACTGTTCATAAGTACTCACATACTTATATATATATATATATATATATATATATATATATATATATATATAATGTATATGTATATGTATGTTTCTTTTATATAGCTGTTTATACCCCTTCATATTATAACCTGTTCATAGTCTGTACACTCACAACCTGGATATATTTATACCTATGGCATATTCAAAGCAACTTACTGTATATTGTACTATATATATCTACCAATGTATTTTTCTTGCTAAGCACTTCTGGATAGATGCAAACTGCATTTCGTTGCTTTGTACCTGTGACATGTGCAATGACAATAAAGTTGAATTCTATTCTATTCTATTCTAACAGGTTCTCACAGGCTGGAAGGAGAGAGTCACCTGACAGAATAGCAGCAATGATGTCACAGACAGGGAAGCTGCGGAGGAGTGCTGTGATGGTTCGTGGGAGGGCAAGTCCAAGAGCATGGTCCAAGTAGAGGAAGCAGGGTACGTTACCGTGGGCAGAGAGTTAAATCCAAATCAGAAGAGCGGCAGGCAGAGAGATAAATCCAGGAAGCCAGCATGAGGTCGAAATCCAAAACAAGGCTTGAGGTTCAGGCAAGAGACAAGGAACTATGATGGCTTCAGAATCAGGGACCATTGAAGGTTTAATAATTTGGCCCTGGTTGGTGTGGACATGGAGCCTATAAAGGCAGGTGAACAAGTGCAAGGAATGAAGGCTGATTACTGTGGAGAAAACAAGGAAGGCATGGCATGGAGTGAAGGGGGCACGCTTGAGCCGAAGGATGGGTGAAGGGCAAAACACAGCAGGGAAACAGAAACAAAGGCATGAGGGGCAAAAACTATGGCAGGTGACAAGGGCAGGAGAACAAAGAGCAAGAAGGCAGGATTATGGCAGGATGGGCAGAAACATGGCATGAGGAGCAGTGGCGTGAGCAGATGAGGGGTCAGCGGGGGCTGCTGACCATTACATTATCTGATAGATTCCAGTTTGTAAATGTAAATAATGAATCCTTATCATACATCAAAGTTAGTCATGGAGTTCCTCAAGGTTCAGTGCTTGGACCAGTACTCTTTACCTTGTATATGCTTCCATTAGGTAAAGTTATTAAACAGTGTGGGATAAATTTTCATTGTTATGCTGATGACACACAATTATATTTGTCCATTAAACCCAATGAATCCAATCAGCTACTTAGACTACAAGCATGTCTTAAAGACATAAAAACCTGGATGACCCTTAATTTTCTCCTGTTGAACAGACAAGACTGAGGTGAGCTGACCTTGGTGATGATGCCATCCTCGTCCGTCTGCACCAGGACGTTGCTGCACCAGAAGGTCCCGCAGCCACGACCCCAGCAGACCCGACTGAGACCGAACCGCTTCACGGAGTACTGACAGGACAAGGAGGCCACGCCCCCCTCCATCACTTTGAAACAGGAGGTGGGTGCCAGAGGTCCACCTGCAGCGGAAACAGGAATGCAAGCACAAAGATGAGAGCTGTGCCCAACAGAACCTTCTTCAGTGGCAGGTTCTGACAGGTCAGGTCAACATCCAGGGACTTCCACATAGACTGGGTCACAGCAAGTCTCCCTGCTCCTCCATTTTGGAAATGCCAGCGTCCACTAGAAGAGAACTTGGGGATCAACTTCAATCCACCTTTATTTATAAAGCACTTTAATAAACCCATACAGGACCAAGTGCTGTGCAGACAATTTAAAAAGCACAAAAGGAATCAAATACAAGAAAAAAGGATTAAAAAGACATAAACAGCTATGCAATAAAAATTAAAAACAGTTAAAGGAGAATCAATCAACCTTTATTTCTTCAGGTAAATCCCATTGAGCCTCGAGGACTCATTTACAAGAGAGACCTGATTATCAGAATTATTAGAATCAACTAACAATAGTAACAATAATAAAATCAACATGTCACATGGTGTCAAAAGATGAGTTTTAAGATGAGATTTAAAAACAGGCAGTGAGGAACCTGTCAGATGTGGAGAGGAACCGTTGGATGCACCGTCGATGCTCCATGTTTTCACGGGAGACTCTCAGAAGACGCCCTGGTGTCTCAGGTGAGAACAGTTTTATTTATGAGCTCATAAGCCCCACAAGGACGATTATAAAAACCCAGTGCTGTTTTTAATGCTCTCATTTTTATGTTTTTTTAGTTTTTATTGTTTGTTGATGGCATGCAGGAGTAAGGATCAGTTTTTTGCAGTTGACTCCAGAGTCCAGAAACTAACGGGGTTGAAAAGCAGAATCCATTTGTTACGCCTGGTTTGTGTCTGTGCTGTAATATTGAAATGACCTTCATTTGAGTATAAATACAGGTGGATTACCTGAGGTCAAATGATAAATGTATTTCTTATGTTTGTTAAGAATGGACCTTAGGTAGTTTTGTGAATGTGACAATTAATGAGTCTGTTACAAGTAATCACAGCTCCAGCTACTCTCACAGGAGGTGAAGACAACGACATCTAAACATTTCAATTATTCATTAAACTTACATGAATAACACTTATATTATTTGGCTTAAACAGCATTGATTTGTGCAAGGTTGGTGTGTGTAGCTGTGCACATTCAGTTTTCTGATTTTACGTGTCAAAGTAATCACGAGGATTGATGAGTGCAGCTACAGCGTGCGCTCTCAGGACATCATTACCTGCAGTGTTCCCTCAGTGAGGACTGAACTAGACAAAAGGACCTTCTCCTGCTCCGCTCCTGTTTCCTGGAATATCTTGTAAAAAGACCTGAAGCTCTCGACCTTTGACCTCTCTAAGTGACTTCAAACATCTGATAAGTTCCTGCAGATGTTCCTGTTTTTAGTTTCTACACCGCCTCGTGATCTAGATGATTGTTTCTTTCTTTTCGTTACTTTTCGTTTTGACTGTCCTTTTGGTTGCTATTTTGTTTTGATTTGTTAATAAAAAGAAAAGAAATTTAAAATTGTACACCTCTTTTATGATTGTCCTTTGTTGTCATCAGTCTTTGTTGAAATCAGGTGTCTCTTCTAAACGAGTCCTCGAGGCTCAGTGGGACTAACCTGTAGAAATAAAGGTTGAATGATGTGCAGTTCTGCTTGAGGCTCTTAGTAAATTCACTCATTCAACCTTTAATTAATCAGATTCATCACACTGAGCCTCGGGGACTCGTTTACAAGACAGACCTGGGTATTATTATCATATTTCATATATATTATTATCATATTTCATATATATTATTATTATATTTCATATATATTATTCTAATATTTCATATATATTATTATCATATTTCATATATATTCATCTAATTTTCATATATATTCTTCTAATATTTCATATGTATTATTATTATATTTCATATATATTCTTCTAATATTTCATATATATTATTATTATATTTCATATATATTATTATCATATTTCATATATATTATTATCATATTTCATATATATTCTTCTAATATTTCATATATATTATTATTATATTTTATATATATTCTTCTAATATTTCATATATATTCTTATATTTCATATATATTATTATAATATTTCATATATATTATTATAA